CAGAATTCCCCAGTCAGCTAGGCTGACTGGGGAATTCTGGGAGTTGAAGTCCACCTGCCTTAAAGTAACTAAGGTTGAGAAACACTGTTCTAGACTATAACCAAGAGCCTAAAAAACAAAGTTCCATCACTGGGAGGGAAAAAAACAATTTTCTTAAAGTTCTAGATGTTATCTTCACAGAAGAGTATTCTTCATCTCTGGCTGGATATGTATTAGGAGTCAGGATAGACATTGCTACATGATCTTATGCAATGCCAAAGCCTCTAAAAAATAAATATTGCATTAAAAAAAGGCAAAAGTCTTATGTAGGAACATGGGCTTGTAAGATTTGGTTTATCTTATAAAACTCTAGGCATTTTCAAATTAAATAAAATAAATCAAATTTAAATATAATATAAAACAATATATCATTTTGGAGTCAGTGGGCACCATCTAGTGGTGTCACAGGCTTCATAGCACCTATGGGCACCACACAGCTGACTTCCAGTCTTCACAGAACCATGCAGAGTTAGGATACACTTTCCAAAATGGACAATGAAATGAGGAAGCTACTGAAAAGCTTTTGAGGGTTTTTTTTCCCACTTTAGAAAGCAAGAAGGAGAATAAGAAGATATTTTCTTAAAAGAAAAAGGATTTCCTGCCCTATGTTTGGAAATATCTACATACCGTGATTTTTGAAAGGGGGAGCATAGAAGAGTGCTATCTGAAGTAGTGTATCTGAAGTAGACTGATAGGTAACATCTGGCAATGATGTACTATACAACATTTTGATATATCAGTTAAATGGTTATATTTCTGGTTTTATTTAAGTGGGAAGTCCTGGACTAATTCCCTAATTCCCTTAGGTCATCTACTAAAGAATTGCATGATATGACATGCTATTAAAATAAGTTGAATATCAAACTTATCTTTTGAGGAAATCAAATTGAAAGCAGATTTCTTAAAAGCACATATTATTAAGAAACCTGGGGAAAACCACATTCAGCACTTGTTATTTTTCAGAAAGCCAAAAAAATAAGAAACCACTGGAGAAGGAGTATGCTTTGGCTCCTGGAGCAACGTAGTTGGCAACTTTCTTTGTAGGAATAATTTTGTTTTATAGAAAGGGATTGTGTGTCACAAACAATATGAAGACATCCCAAGGATAGATCAGAAGCTGGCAATTTGAAAGTGGGCCTTTTCTGTCATAGTGCCTGTCCTTTGGAACACCATTCCCCCTGAGATTAGTTTGGTCCTGACCTTGACTGCTTTTTGGAAACCCTTGAAGATATGGATGTATTGCTGGACATGGTCATCAGATCATTAGCTGGAGCCTGTGAAGTTGTTTGATTTGTGGTAGATTGGCTTTTACCTAGGCTGTAATTATATGCATTGTGGTTTTATGTTATTTGCATTATGATTTTTAAATGTTGTTGGCCACCCAGAATTGCCATGGTGAGATGGGCAGCCATGTAAGTTGAAAATAATAATGATAATAATATTATTATTATTATTATTATTCAAACAGGCAAGCACCTGCCACACAACACCCCAGATTTAACAACTGTTGATAAGACAAGCAAAAAGGTCTGAATAGTAGACACTGCAATACCTGGAGACAGCAGATAGAAGAGAAACAACTGGAGAAAATCACAAAATATAAAGACCTGCAAATAGAAGTAGAACGACTATGGCAAAAGAAAGCAAAGATAGTACCAATAGTAATAGGTGCCTTGGGTGCAATCCCAAAACATCTGGAGCATCACTCGAATACTATTGGCATTGACAAAATCATCACCAGTCAATTGCAAAAGGCAGCTTTACTTGGAACAGCTTACATCCTGCAATGATACCTTTAACACCATCAAACAACAACATATGCCTATCCCAGGTCCTTGAGAAGGACTTGATAAGTGGATAAAAATGCCAAATCCAGTCTAAACAACTGGCTGACACCACCACCACCACCACCACCACCACCACCACCACCACCATCATAATTCTCAACTCTTCCACCACATGGATTCCCCAGTAGTATCCAAAGTTGGAGGTGGGGGGTTGGAATCACCCCAATAAACTTATATTTTAACAACCCAAACAAGAAGTTTTGTCTGTTTACTTGTTTCTAAGCAAGCTGACCTCAAGCCATATTAAAATATAATTTTAAAAACCCAAGAATCTTGACTAGTCAATTGATTGTCTTGTGGTGGTTAATGGAACTGAGGAGGTAGGTTAGGAAAAATATTTCAGTCTTAGACACTGAGTTTGAGATGGCAGTTAAAATCCCAATAATTTTCCAGTGAAAATCAGGGCAGCGTGTTCTGGGTAATTACCAAATTAATAAATTTTCAGCTTTTATTTTATACAGTGAATAATAAATGGCATGGACTGATGACATCTGTTCATACTGAGTTACAGAAAGGATTCTGCCTTCTCTTTGTCCTGTCTTCAGGTTTAAATGTTTTAACCTTCTGATGGGTGGCTTCTTGTTTGCATTATTACAATATAAATTTATTGGTGAGATTCCCTCCCCTAT